ATATCTAACAAAAAATATAAAATATATCGAAATATTAAAATATATTGGAAAGATAGAATATACAGAATAATATTATTTATTTTTCTATATAACAGATATGTATATTTGATCTAATACATCATAACAGATATGTATATTCCATTTAATACATATATTCTATATTATATATTATATTCAAAATACAAATATATTAATTTTTTAGATATCTATAAGAATTGGATAATATGCTTCGAATTCAGACATTATCAGATATAGGTAAATACAAAAAACTTGGAGACATACTATTAAACTGATATCCACCTAGTCGAACGAAACTTGAAAACCAGCTTGCTTATGCAAATTGAGATTGAAAGAGTGTAGCAATTGACTTGTTAATAAATGCTTTGTCTTGAATAAAGACAATAAGTACATACAATAGGATTTAAATCGATCTAATAAAGATAAAGAGAAACTTTTCAAGCATACCTACTAACTTAAAGATGAGGTTAAGTAATTGCACTCAGAGTTAGATACTCTAACATCTCAGATTACTCGCAAGAATATTTCTCTTAATGAATATAAAGACAAGATTCGTATAAAACTAAAAGAGATGAAAGCTCTCTAGTCTAAGATAAAAGTATCAGAGATGAGACTATCTTTAACTCAGAAGGACTCATCTATGAAAGAATCTGAGATTGATTATCTTAGGGTCGAATTATCTGCTCTGAATTCTAATCTAGCTTCAAAAAATAGTGAATTAGAGTACATGAAGAATATAATAACTTTAAAAAATGGTAAATTAGAACTAATAAAAAATGATTTGGCTAAAAAAAATTCAGAGATACACTTCTTAGAAACTAGACTCAAAGAGCTATTGCCCTGCAATAGATTATCATCAGAACAAGTCAAGATCAGAGGTAAGACAAATAAAAAAAATGATGATAATATATCAGTTATGCAGTCTCTGCCAAAGGATCTGAACTCTTTATCTCTTGCAAAATATTTTGTACATAAGCCTAGATCCGAAGGGTCATTGCTTTGCAATAAGATAGAGAATAGTCAAGTAGATAGAGATATCCAAGAATCTTTGACTCAACAAACTTTAACTAGTTTAAATGATAATATATCTAAAGAATCAGAAATCTCTAATGAGAAGCAGATAAATAATGAGCAGATATGAAGTAATATTTCTTCTAAAATAAGCTTAAAGTATATTATATCTAAGATAAAGAATAATAATATACCAATAAGAGAGATTAAAACATTACCTGTTGTGATATTAGGTGCTGGTGAAGCTTTGGTTAATTATAAGTATCAGATTTCCCCTATTGTTAAGCTTGTTGTTCTTATTATAATAACAATACTAATTATTTGGTATATATACAGGAATATTTTTCATCCAACCAAAAAGGAAAAAAATTTTTATCCAGTATATAGAAAACAGAGTTATGGATTCCCAATCCGTCATCAAAAAAATTCAAAAATACCTTCTATGAAATTATTCCTTATGAATATAGATAAAGCTAATAAACATGAATCAATTCGAAATATTAGATATCTAGCAATGTCATAGCCTTTCAGTAAAGTATTTACTGGTATGAGTAGTAAAGATAAGACAAATATAGTTAGAAATCTTGTTCTAGGAGATAAAGCTGAAAATATATACAAAGGTAAAAAAGGAGGATCTCGATATATTAAGTGTGATGATTTGATAGTTTGTAGATTTTATTCAGATGAGCCAAAATGTGTATTTGTTAGATTTATATATGGAGTAATCGCAAGTAATTCTAAAGCATCTTACTATGAAAATATAAGATTCAAATATATCTTACCTGAAAAAATTCCTAGTGTAAAATTATTTTCTCTAGAGAGAAGTACTGTAATTATTTTTGAGGATTTATGTGTAGCCTCTGAGTCCATCCAAAACTGAATTATTCTATTCTTCACACATGGATGTTATCAGAATATTAGTTCAATTTATATAACGCAAAAATATCATCATGTCCTGATAATTATTCATGAAAATCTTACCTACTTAGTTATATTTAATGGGAGCAGTAGTTATCAGGATGTGTTCAAAATAATTGGATGATATACTGATGATGTTAAGAATGCATCAATGGTTATTAATAGTTACCTTTGAAAAAATGAATTTATTGTATTTGATCTTACTAGGTCAGAGGATGATCTATTAGCAATTCGTTTAAGATTCGATACT